AACAGGAAAGGAAGCTTGCATTATTCATTGGATTAGACTTTATTTTATTATCTTTTGCGTTATTTTGATCTTCACTGATTTAAAACCAGACAGAACCAACTACTAGAACATAGAACAGTATCAGTTTAAAGAGAGAGGAAAATAGGTGATATTCCTCTTCCACATCTAAGCCGTTTGACAGCACAGCTGTAGGTGTCACTATGCAAGAGCATTCAGTTTTGTTAGTCAAATTTCTACCACACAATTCACTTATGAGTCAGCGGTAGGTACATCAGTATGGGATCTTTTAGGTCTGTTCACTCATACAAAGTGACGGGCCACAGCTGGCTGCATTAATCCCAAGTGGATCATCTTGTATAGACGACACCAGGATTATCCCAGAGATACGTGTCCAATGAACGGCCATGAGAGCACATCCGCAGAGGGTATCACTTGGCATTTCTCTTCCCTCCTGCACATCCCCACCGCAGAGGATTCATCTGTTTATCCCAGGATAATCTGAAACCTACTTAACAAACATCTCTGCACATCAGCCTCCTACCAGCAAGTGAAAAGCACACCCAGCCAGCATCTTCTTGAAAGACTAAGGTGAGAAGGCCAAAATTTGCAACTGTCCCTAGAGCAAGCGGAGGCAGCACATGTCCTTCAGGAGCTAGAGCCTTGTTAATTAATTTTTGGCTTTCAGAGCTACAGTGCCAGGAACGTCCCACAGGTTCTCTTGAACATCTGCAGGCGCCTGAGCTGCTCCACGGGTGCAGATGTGAATTGGCCGGCGCAAGGCAAGGCTTAAGCAAATCAGACTGATTGTCCTGATTTTCTCATGCTTGCTCAGATTTTGAAGCATGGCCTTAGGAAGGGCAGGGACAGTCGACTGTCTAAATCTCTGTATTCTTTCCTGTTAGTGAACCTGAAGGAGCATTTGTCAACCCCTCTCCACCTGCTTGTTGCGGGAAAACATTTGGGTTAAACTGAAGGCTTGACGTATCTAACAAATTCTCCCTCACTGTGTCTTGGTGTAGTTGTCAGTACCCGCATCTTTTCCCAGGTTCTTTCTCTCCAGATTGTGTGTGAATTTTCTCCCCTTTTCCTCCATCTGTACTTCTTCTATATTTGTTCCTTTTTGCCTAGTAGCTCTCCTCTCCCCCGGCTTTATTGCTCCAGCTGAGCAGAGGGCAACCTGCTCGTTGCGGTGCCGACCACGCTCCCTGGTGGTGCTACCCACAGCTGTGCAGGGAGCCACGAGAGTAAAAGCAAGGGGCTTGACATGATATATTAGAAACAAGATCTCCCCTCTGTACTGTGAACTGTTCTGAGAGCCTACTGCAGTCTCAGCCACTGACAAGCAGAGAGAGAAGGGACGTGACATCAGGGTTTTGGGGGCAACAGCAATGTGCAGACAGGGGCTGCCATGCAGTTTCTCCCCATCCCATCCCACCCCATCCCTCTGCCACGTCACTCGGTTCCTAGCTGCTCTGCAGACACATGCACACAGCCTGCCGTGTTGCTGACCTGCTGTCTGAAGCTAAAGCCTTCTCCGCTTCCAGCCTGTTATTTTGCTCTTCTGGCAATCACAACATCCGCGTGCAGGACTGTCACCCACAGTCCTGGCAATGCTGCAAGACTCGAACCAGGAAGAAAGGGCTGGTTTGTAGGTTATGGGAGGTGGTGAAAAAGAGGGTGCTGCTGCCGCTGCGAAGTCAGGAATGGGGCCAGGCTACAAAAGGCTGAGCCAGCCCATATGCTTTAACACCCCTCACCCCCGCCACAACATTTACCAGATGCTCAAGTGCACATTTTTGATTCATCCTGTCATAAAGGTTGAAAACATTTAAAAATGAAGACCAAGCACAGGCTATCACCCTCTTCAAAAATGAGAGTGTTTGGAGATGAGGTTTTACTTCAAGATCATCAAAACAAGGAGGGGGTGGGGGAACCACAAAATGGTTCAAGTTAGAAATCCAACCTCAGCCAGTATAAAATTTAAGTAAACGTCTTTGACATAAGAGAAACTGGAGGGAAAGAAAATGCATGAGCAGAACCTCACCTCCTTTCCTCAACTCATACTCCACCTGTGAGCAGGAGCCAGGCTGTGACTCCTGCCTACCCACCATGCAGGAACTGCGTTTCAAAGAACCGTTTAATTATGGCTCTATGTATCAACACAGCCTGTCTCCAAACCCTCCTTTGCATTGGCCTATTTGAAACTGGAGTGGAGCCCAGCCGCGCTCCAAGGATTGCATTGTCATCCCGAGTGCTGGCTTTGCAGCCCATCTTGCCATCCACTCAGCAAAACAGCTGCAGGTTTGCTGTACTGGACGCTTTCTGCGTGCCCTGCATTTCGGGAAAACCTCCTCCACAGAGAACATGAATCTCCCATTAGCCTTAATAGCACCTAAATTTGAACAAGGGGAGAAAACGTCATACAATATTAATCGTGCAATTCTGTTAACAGCACACACTGTACCCATGTGAGTAGCTGCACAGTTTACATCCCCTTCGGTCCATCTGATCTACTTTCAAAAGGATTTGCACATGAAGAATGTTCTTTACCTTCGTGCCACCCACAGGCATTCACCTTCTGAGTAGTATTTGGAGCATACAATGTACTTGGTATATGAAAAAATATTCCTCCCTCTATTCTTCCTCCTTTGGAAATAATCATCCTTTCCCAGCTCTGAAGACTCCCTCCAACTATGCATTTCACAGGAGCTACTAAGCGGCTCTGCAAAGACCACCTCTGCATCTCCCTAACCAGTGGTATTAGGCACCTCCCATGTTTAGGCCCACTAACCTGATCACAACAGCTTGATGAATTAATGCTTATATAGACACAGTTGGCAGCTTCTAATTAAATAATTATGGCTAAGCAGCTGCAGAGAAGTTGTAACGTTCCACTAGAAAGCCAGATGTCAATTTTATTGGTCCTCAAAGTTTCAAATGAAATGACTTCGGGAAATTTGGGAAGGGGTTTCTTTGGCTCCAGGTGAATTCTGTAGATATCGTGCCTGCTCTCAGATCGGCTGAGTGCAGCCAGACCCGAAGCACGTGGCCGGAGAACCTCTGCAGCCCACCAGCGGCTCTATCGCAGCAAGCAGCAAACGGCACAAAGTGTAACAGAACGATTTGGATCGAGATAAGAGAGAGTGATTCGGCATCACGGCCGTTGCTTTAGCTTTTACCTAGGGAAGGACCCTTTGAAAAATCCACCTCTCAAACTGTACCAGTGTCACAAATCCACAAAGCTGATATGAGCCAAACGCAAAGCCTGTTGAACTGGATAAGAGTCTTTCCAGGAACTTTAATTGGATTGGGCTTTCCCTGCATTGGTGAGAGAAGATTTTGTGACACCTACTATAGACTTTCACCCTCCCAAATTTCTAAGGTACCTCTCATCTCGGTACCTAAGCCTAGCTGTAGTGATGTGGAACCAATGAGTAATCCCTGAAGGTAAAAATTTGAGTAATATGAAAATCGGGAGTCTGTGTTTGCTAATTCACACAAAACCGACCTTCATCCTCTCTTCAATTAGCAAACCATTGTGCCTATAAGGAACTTACTTTTTTTTTCTGATTTTAAATATAAATGCAAACACAATTTATTCTAATCCATTCCTTTAACTACATTAATTCTCCTATAACTTGTACAAGACACTATGATTTCAAACAGAAGCAGCCTAATATCAGAAATCATCCATCCCCGTCGGAATATAAGCGGATCCATGACCTTAGAACCATTTTGCTAAGAAATCCAGCTAGAAAACTAATCTTAAGTAAATCTATGCATGTCAAAAATACAGATGGCTTTTCAGGATGCTAACTTAAGCATCATTACATAAGCAGATTAGGGCTGCCTGTTGAGCCGAGACACGAGAGTAGATGGCGCTGAATCCAGTATTACACACCAACTATTCACTTCCTGGTACACCTTTCATCTAAAACTTTTGTCAGCTCTCCACGTTACCGAGCCTGCTAACTGTAAGCACCGCACACAGCACAGCAGGTCTGCCGGCAAAGCATTATCCTTCTCTAAACCCCACCGTCCAAAGCAGCAGCTGGCTAAAGCCCATTTCTACAAATGGACCGGGGAAATGTTCCATCCTTCACCCTCTTGAAATGAAAATGGAGGAAAACAGCCTCATGAACCTCTCGAATATTTAAGCACAGCAGTTGTCAATGATTTTCTGATACAGAATTATAGAATCAAAATTACCCTCGTGTTACCATTGGTAACGGTGCCTCTACCTGAATATCAACTTAGAAAGTTAATGGGCCTGCTAGAGCTATCAGCTAAAATTACCACAACAGTATGTGATCTGATGTGATTGCGGTAAGCAAGGCAGATACTTCTCGTTATGAGGATAGTTTGCTTTTCACAGGCGTGTTGCATAACAAGGCACAGCAACTTGCCTCTCTCTGCTCTGAGCCCTCATTTCAGAGCACATCAGCTGGCTCCGAGAAGGCCCCCTGTTGAAAAGCAGCCAGGGGGACGGGATTTTGTTTTCCCTTCCCTGTCTGTAAGTGTGTCAGGTTTGTTAACAGATGGCTTGGCTGACTGTGCTTGACTATTATCAAGAAGCTATTACCTTTGTAAATTGAATCCCATTTGAAGATTTTCTGTAATTAAATCTGCAGTGTGTTTGCAAGGCTTATATTGCATCCCGCATGTACTCGGGAAGCGTGCAAGGCAGTCAGACGGCTGATTTACACAGCCGGAGACAGCATCATCATTCAGCCACAGGGATGGGGTGCTTTTGGCAGTCTGTGCTGCCACCTAGCCAAGACCAAGCCATCGAGTTCTGCCTTGCTGTACATTTCGAAAGCTTAAACTGAAGCGTATCCCCCCCCCCCCCCCCCCCCCACAAACACGATCTAAATAAAGCCTCAGTCCGCAGCAGACACAAGGAAATTTGCACTCTTTGTGCTTTGAGAATCGTACGGTCAGCAGAAGAGAGCGGCTTCAAACAGGTAGTTACATTTCCCTCAGAAATGTCTTGTACTTACGGTAGAAGACATATTCAGTGTAGCTGGACCAGACCTTGTCGTCTGTGTACTGGTTGACAAAGGAAGCCGTCACTGAGGAGTTACAGGCCACCATGTGGAATCCACACTCGGACAACATGTCGAAAGCCCTCTCCAGGTGCTTGAACTTGAGATAAAACCTGGAGGTGTACCTTTCTGGAGCCCTGTCTGGGTCTCTGCTTTCATTCAAACTTTCTCCAAAGACCTCTTTGACCAGAGCAATCCTTCCACAAACCAAAATCCTTGGGACCCTCCTGAATTTGGCATCTGCTTGGCTCTCCCTGCCAAGAGTGCACGACCCCCGGTACCCGATGGTAATGAATCCCCACTTCCGATCAGGCGGTAAGAGCGATGAGGGTGGGCATATTCTCGTGTCACTGCCTTGGGAGACCTCTTCATAGTCACTGTGGCAATAATCATCGGGGCTTTGCTTGTTGTCATCGGGAGTCAGGAGTTTGACCAAGTCCGGGAGCTGGAAGTACTCAGCCTCCCTCTTGAGCCTTCCCTTCTCTGGGAAGTGGTCAGGCAGAACCACTTGCTTGTCCCTGAGATAGTCCAGAATGTAGCGGAAAAGGAAACCATCTCTGTCAATGAAGAATCTTCCCTTGGAGTCCTTGGCCAGATCGTTGGCTGCGTCTCTCTTTGGGGTGAACATTTTCCACAGCAGGGAGTGAGGGGTGCCAACCAAGGTGGAGTGGCGAGTGAAGTAAACCTGGCCGCCCACGTTTAGCTCCACTACCTCCGGGAAGGAGTGCAGCCCGGTCCCCTGCTCTCGAGGAGGAAGGTAAGTCCTGCAGTTGCCACTTAGAGCCATTGTACTTTAAAACAGAAATCAGCAGCACGAAGCAGCAGGACTATCAATCACATCAAAGCGTAGAACAAGGCTCCCAACATTAAGGAGAAACAGGAGGGAAAGGGGAAGTGAGAAAAGAAAAATAGCCAAAGGGTTTCTTTAAAAAAAATCTGAATTGTCCATGAGTGACAGTGTGGCAGAAGTGGCTTATTACCCTAAGCCATAGAGGATGGAGAGCAATCACTTCGTGAAATGCAATCACATCGTTACATCTTCCAACAAAGCCATCAAAATCAAGGTCAAGCCAAGCCTATGATCATTCACAGGTCTGTCAAAAGGGAAAACAAAATGAGACACGAATTATTCTTTTAAGCATCACAGAAGCTGCAACAGAGAAAAGCAGATCAGTTTAGAAAGCCAGGCTAGATCTCCTCCTAAATAGGTCTATTTTTTTGCAAGTTCTACGCTTCTTTTTCACAAGTACTGATCAATGGAAGGGCTACATATGACTCCACCGTTTAAAAGAAAATACATACTTCATCTTTAAAGAAACATCTAACGCAGACATGCACATGAGGGAACAAGAACAGCGAGCCTTACCTTGGTTACAATTAATGCATAGCTCTTGCAAAGGAAAGCAAAATTTCAAGACACTCAGAACACACATACAGGCACACAGAGTCCAGTTAGTGTGAAATCCGATCCCAGCAAGGGACAGCAAAGGCAGGGAAAGTGCTCTTAGCAACGTCCATGTAGACCTCGAGAGTTAAACCGAGTCACAGGAAAGTTAACCGTGGCAGGTGGCGAAAGAAACCGATACATACAGCGCGACGGGGGAGAAGAAAAAAAAAACCCACAGCAAAAACCCCCGAATAAATCCGCCCGGGCTCCGGGGGAGCGGGGCGGGGGCAGCGCGGGGCGCGCCTTTCGGCTGGCCCAGATGACTTGCAGAACCCCCGCAGCCTGCGCTAAGGGCTGGCGGGCTCCGGCGGCTCCCGCGGCGGCAGCCACCCGGGCA